AAAGACAAGGACAATCTCAGTCCTGAACACCTGGTTTTCACAACATGTTCTTTTCTCCTTCTTAACCTCATCCTCAAGAATTCCTATGGCTCTGTCAATCTGATTATCTGAAATCATGCAATAAAAGTAAATGACTACTGACTTAATTTATTTGTAAACTTGTGAGTATGGATGGGCCAAATATTGCCTGGCCTGAAGCTTATACAATACATATTTGAGAAATTTTTTTAAGAAAAATAATATATGCAATTAGAAAAAGAGTCTTAGAATGTATCCTTGAAAGTTAGGGGTCCTGAATTGAAGTTGATTGGCTTCATGATAGATTTCCCTCCATGGTGAAGAGGACAGTTCATGTAATATTTTATGGCTAAGGGAGCTATAAAACATATGAACATTTTTCAGTGAAATAAATTTTTATATAAAAATGTCACTGCTTCTCATCTCTTCATAATTCCTCATTTGAGATAAATGTCGTCCTTTCCTATTTTAGTAACACTACATAAAAGTGGGTGTGACCAAACCCCGAGAGCCCACTGTACCACAGCTAAATTAGCTCTCAATTTTCACTTATGTTGATGGTGCTCAGACTGGGAACAGGCGAAAGCTTTTCCAATAGTGAAACAGTTTCACCATAGCCACGGACAGAGGTCATATCTTAATGCTTTTATTTCATTATGGAGCATGCACTGTAAGAAGAAAAATAAAATTTAGGACAAGCAATTTCTCAAAGAGGAGCAATCAATAAGAAAGGCAATTTTGAAAATAAATCAGATTTTCAAAAGCTGTTTTTCTTTTTAGAGTGAATGATCATGTTACAAGGAGCTCAGAGCACCTTAAAATGGCTGAACTGAAGTAGCAAATGACAAGTGACTTTTTTTATGTTGATAAAAAAGAAAAATATGAGTCGGATTTACCTCAGCAGTGGCTGGCTTGAAGTGCCATGGGGAGATGGTGATTTAGGTATGATATAGACACCTATAAAACTATATCTTAAAGTGTGAATGTTTTTGCTTTAGCAATGTGATATTGACAAAACAGGGCAAGTTCTCACCCTGTAAATTATATACTAGATGTATGGGAACTAGGGTTGTTTCTAAATATAGGCAGAGTCACCTCCTGTGTAGCTTCAGAAACCAGAATGGCTGGCATTTGATTAGCATGATGAAAATCACAGATATATTCTAAAACAATTTCACAGTGAATAATTTATTGTAAAGAGTTAAATTGAACATTTTTATAAGTAGTTTTATTGTTCTTATCATACTCAATTAAAGTCTAACAGTTGTAAAATTACTAAATAATTGTGCCTGGATGTATCTACATTTCGTTTGATCTCAACAAAGCTTATAAATCTGATACAAAGCATATCCATATTGAAAGATTATATATTTAATATTGTACATATTTAAATAGAAATTTGTAATCGCTAAATTTTGGATCTTGAAGTGGAGAAAAGGAAACGATAAAGACTTCAAAACAGAAATTGGAACATGATCTAGTATCTTTTGATTCTCACATTACCAGATTAATTGGAGATATTCTCAGAAATTATAAGGATATAAATGAGATGGGCTTGCTTGGAAGTTAAACAAACAGAATTCAAAACAAATGATTTTGTTTTCCATTGGGTGTCATGCATGTTCTATAAATTACCCCTTTCAGAGATTGATTTGGCTTTATTTCTTATTTATTCCTTCAGAAAAAAATGTCATAATAAGTATTTTGGCTCTTATGTGTCTATTTTCAAACTGATCACCCCCCCACACACACACGCACACACACAGACACACACTTTGAAATACCAGCAAGTAGTGGTAAAATTGTTCAGAGACTAAAACAATCATTTTGATGAGCAAGCACATTTGAATGCAAAGGAGAGCTGGTGGAGAGAAATATCAGAGAGCCCTCAGCTACAAATGCTGTTCACTTTGCTTCTCCTTAAAGGTCTTCACACTCCATTAGAAAGAAATGGGTCCAAAAGGAACCCAAAAGGCCAGGCTTTTGCCAATTCTGACATCTGGCTAATTGTCATGTTAGCTGCTAACAATGGAAACAGGCAGTGATAATGAGTCACCATTCTATAACTCAGTACGTATCTTTTAGAGATATATTAAAGACAATAAGATGTAGTATCATATACAAGAAAGAAAAACTTGCTTATTAAAAATATTGAAAGTGATTATTAAAATTGAATCATTTTTAAACATTGATTAAAATTTTATTAATTTGCTACTGCTCTGCTGATTAAACTGAATGTAGTAGTTTCACATGTGCAAACTATTTGGAAAGTTGGTATTATAATTTTCATATTTTATTGATTAAATATTTGCCTTGCAGTTCTCCAGAGTTTCACCCAGAAAACAAGTTTTTAGTAATAAAAAATTTCCAAATGTGTATGACTTATAAAGCATCAGATATTTTTATCTTAGAAGCTGCAGTTCAAACATGGTCAGTCACACAAAGAATGCTGTTTGTAATGATGAATTATGTGTTTTGTTTAACTAGAGCATAATGTTCCAGTTTCTTTGTTGTCACTGTTGTTATTTTTCTCTTTTTAAAAGTTTAAAAATTTTTATTAGTACATGTTTGCATTATATAATGATTACATTGTGGGGAATTGGTACATGTACATATCTTTAATACTTTTTATTTCCATTTTCTTACAAATTATTACTTTGCCATCATATTTCGTCCTGCCTACAAATATTTATTGGTGTTCATTATTACAATTCTGCTTTGGACATATAATAGCACTGTTGAACACTGTGGAGAAGTAATACACAAAAACAAATATCAATAATTCTTGTTTTAGATGAAAACGCAAAGAATTGGGTGCCTGAATTACTAGTTTTTCTATTTGTATTGTATATGCTTCAAATCATTGTGAAAACTAAATGGGATTATATACATAGTACTTAGATTATTATTATGCACATAAAAATGCTGTTCCACATTAGCTCTCATAAATCATTACTCAAAATCAACAGTAAAGAGAAGACATACTGTACTCTCCCTTAGGATTTGTATTGTCAGTAAAATCCTATAGTATCATTATACATAAAGAGATTGATGATTGGCATTTGATTTCTGCCCCATGCACTGGCTCACTTGGGTGTTTCATTTCTGTGTGATATGTGCCCCACATTTTATTCAGAGGAATTATTTGGATGTCATTTAAGGTGCTCTGGCAAAGCTCTGTGTTAAGACCATATCATAGAATCACTGGTAGAATCATGTAAAATTTTTCAGAGATCTGAAAGGTAGGGATAATGAAATAGTTTCTGAAATGCATCTGTAACTTAATGTATTTACACAAGTTTAGATAAGCTTTTCATAAAACGTGTTTCTAACAGCTAAGTGGCTTTACTTAAATTGTATTAGAATTATTCAGCACTTTGATTTATTGTGTCCTATGGATTTAAAGGAGGAAGACGTAGTGGACAGGAAGGCAGATATTAATAACTCAACCATATTACATTGCGAAGATTTTCCCTCTTATCAGTGTTGCTTTTATTTATCAGCTTTTAAACAACCCATTCAGGTTTGGATAATCTGCTCCTTTAATCACTTTAAAACTTTTACTGATTTAGATACAGGGTTGTACTAAGCCTGCTGCACTTGATTTAGGTACTATGGCTCAATAACAAAGCGGCTTGGATACTTGTTGAGCCAATCAGGGGAAGTGTTTGCAAATTACATCCAGGTGGTTCCGTGTGTGTGTGCAGACGTGCGTGTGCACAAATGTATTCTACATGTATATAGCATGTGTGCATATATGTAAGTAAATATGTATAGAGATGGTACACATGTGGCAAACTGTTTAACAAACCAGCCAGGCATGGTGGCAAACACCTATAATCCCAGCACTTGGGAGGCTGAGGCAGGAGGAGTGCCTCAAGTACGAGGCCAGCCTGGACTACAAAGCCAGACCCTGCCTCAAAAATAAATAAATAAATAAATTTTAAAGCCACCAAAACACACACACACAAAAACTTTTACTATCATCTCTCATATCCAGTAAATTGACCCAACAGTGTTGGTCTTGTTTAAATTATTGTATAGAAAAATCACTGTATCTCAACTCTGATCTCTTAAAACTACTTTGGTTGTCCCAGAGTGAGGGAGATAAGAGAAGTGGGTGTGTCTCAGGGTGGTGACTGGGTGTCTAGAGGGGATGGGGAAGAGAAAGAGGATTTTTATGCAAGGGGACTGATTTTTCTGACAGAGGGTATGCAAAGATGTATGAAAAGAGGAAAGCTTGGAGAGGTATGGTAGGTCAGTATGGAATCACCAGGGCACAGGGATGGAAGGGTTCAGTGCCAATGGCCAACCTCACCTGGCACATGGAGGATCGGTAGCCCGCAAAGGAACCCTCAGCACCATTAGCAATATTTCAAGGACAGCTGACCACATGCCCCTTCCAACCTGTGGCACCTCTTTTTTGGGGTCTACCTTGCACATTTCAGACTTGAAGCTCAGCTGTAACTGTCCTTGGTAGTATGTTGCAGCCGCTACAGCTCATTGCCAGGACAGGCTTAGGTGTGGGGACAGGAAAGACAACCAGGGTAGGCTTCATGAAGGGAGAGGTAGATGAGTGTTCTGGCAGCTATGATTGCTAAACATTTAAAACAGTTTTTTTTTGGTTTTGTCTGAAAAAGCACGAAATACAGGATTTTTGTTTGGTATTTATTTTGTTTTGTTTTGTTCATCCTCATGCCTGTAATCATCCTCCTCTTTGGAGCATAATTCAGTAGGTACAGTAGTAAGTCTGGGCTAGGTCTGTTTCAGAGCATTATGGTCCTTTGGATTTGGAAACTGCTTATGTAGACCCTTCAAATAAGAATCAAATTTCCTGGTATATGAATCACCTTGTTGAATGCTGAACATGAATAATTTATATTACACAGGACTTGAGTGTGCCTGTTAGGGTTTACTTTCATTCACAAATTTTGCTTTCTTTCTTTTCTTTTCTCTTCTCTTTTTTTTTTTTTTTTTGGTAGGTTCCTGGGCAGATCGCTCACCACTACATGAAGTCGCAAGTCAAGGCCGTCTTCTTGCACTAAGAACATTATTATCACAGGTAAAATATTACATATAGCTTAACATATGCCCCTTCCCATGAACATAAAACATTGTCAAAGCAAATCAATTAAAAAATAATAAAATTGCTTAAGTTTTACTGCTGCCTTTTCATTTTAACTCACATAAGGTAAGTCAATAATTTCTGATTTATCTTTGAAATTCCTTTATAAATACTTTGGTATAATACTATAAGTATTTCAGATTTCTCACAGAATATATTTATGTATTGTTACACATGTTTAAGCAATTAATAATTGAATTTTCGCATTATTTATTTAATTCTAAACATGTTTAACTCCATACAATTGTACAGCTAATTGCAGGCTTAGTTTAGTCAAATAATACCCCAAAAGAAGTAATCAAAGCAGAGGACAAATCAAGCTATTTTACATTATGATGATCTCAGTATTATGAGGAATTGCCTTTGAAAGTGACAGGACACTCATTTCTACACCTATCTGCTCATCAAATTCAGCAGAGGAAAACTGGAAAACACAGATTCCCTGCTGAGGCAGAAAGTGGTCTGACTTGGGCGCCGTGCAGTTTAATTTTAAGCTCAAATGCACACACGCTTCTGAGTGTCACTTCACCAGTATCAAGGAGAAAGGAGTTTTTTCAGATGGCTATGAGAAAGAAAAAGTTGGGTCCTTGGGTTTAAGCAGTCCTGCCCGGGACCCAGGAGACTGGATCCTGGGCTGGCACTTGAGGTGACCCACAAACTATCTGAGCTATATTTTCTCCTTTGTAAAATGAGAAGAGATGTTTCCCCAGAGCTGTTCAGTTCTGTGACAACCATGTGACTGTTTTGTTTTACTCATCCCTTGATGATGAAGGGAGGAAAAAACCTATGAAAAGGTCAGTAATTTCAAAGGGTAATCCCTGGGAGACGCTCATGCAGCTCTTTGAGAGGAGAGCAGTCCTGGGGTATTTCTTGGTGTGTATCTTCTACCTCTGGATGGCTAGGAGGAGTGGGAACTGCCGGGGAGCCTGCTGGGAAAGGGAACCTCCACCCTCCCAGGCTTCTGTTTTCTCCTCAACTGCTGTGCAGCAGGCTGGGGTGGCCTCCAAATAGTCTCTGAAGGGATAATTAAAGGATCTTAAAAATTTCCACCTGTTAGTGGTAAAGATTTGGTGTGATTATTTTAGTGTCTTTGTTTTATGATTCTTTATATCCATTCTGGTTTTACAGATTATGGTAATTTGCAATAAGTTAGGAGGAATTTGGCCCTGAAGTTCTTCCTATTAGTGCTTGGTATGATTGTCAAAGAAAATACATTATTAATGATATTGAGAAGGTAAAGAATCTCACACCCTAATATTTAATTATTTTAGTTTGATATAATGAGTTAATTGGAATATAATTAAAAGATTTTTACTTGGTTTTGAATGAATAATAAAATAAAACCTAACATTTTTATGTGCTGGGCACTGTAATTAATAACTATGCTACATGCATCATCTCGTCATTCTCATGATAATCTTAACATTTACTGGTTAAGGAATACGTCCAAATTCCAACAGTATGGCTAATGGATTCACAGCTTTAAACCTCAATCTGACTCTACAGTCAGTTCTCAAACCTACCATGTAACTTAATCATGTCTATTTAGTGACAAATTTACAAAGCAGTTTCATTAAAGTTTATTTTTTTCCTCTGTCCTGGAACAACTTCTAATTATAGATCCTCAATTAAAGCAAGTGATTTAACCTATAAACAATGTTTAGTTCTACAATGCAACAACAAAATAAAGACACTCCTCCCTCCAAAAAAATTAAGAAAACAAAATTTAGAGAACATACCAGAATCTACTGAACAAAATACTTAAGATATTATTACATTGAGCCAGGTGCTATAAAAATGGGGCTAAGGAGTTTTTGTTATTGTTGTTTCAATTGTACACATTTATGATCAACAGTGTGAAAATTTCAATACCTATATACAATGTGTAATGATAAAATCAAAGTAATTCTCATTTCTATTTCTTTAAGCTTTTCAAAGTAATTTCTGACCAACCATTAATAGTTGTACATATTTAAGAACTGAAATGTGGTATTTCAATACATAAACTCTAAAGTATAAACTAAGTATAAACTGTGTAGTGACCAAATCATGGTAATTAATGTTTTATGTCTTGGAGCCTTTCAAAAGAAATGAGATGAGCATATTAAAGAAATATCTTCACTCCCATGTTTATTGTAGTACTGCTCACAATAGCTAAGATATGCAATCAACCTAGATAGCCATCAACTGAAGAATGGATGAAAATGTGATATATATGAATATTGAGCACCCATCAAAAACAGTATCTTGTCCTTTGTAGTAAAATGGAATTGGAGGATATAGTGTTAATAAACAAAGTAAGACAAATATCATATGTAAAAAAAAGCTTTAAAAATCTATCAGAATGTAGAATAGTGAATACTAGGCTCTGGGAAGGGTGAGGGAAAGAAAGACTTGAGGGTTGTTGGATAAGAGGGAACAAAACACAATTAGGTAGAAGTAATAAGTTCTAGTGAATTTAATTTACAGCTATCTATAATAAATATTAAGATTATGACTGTGTGGCATTTGAACTGGCCAGTTCTGCTAAACTGGAAACTGGTTTGCCTGAGATTTTTTGATCTTTAAAATATATCATTCTCTAGCAATATTTATGGAGATAATGTTATATAACATTTTCCTTGCCTTTCCAATTTATGTCATGTTTAGGGTTATAATGTAAATGCAGTAACCATAGACCATGTCACCCCTTTGCATGAAGCTTGCCTGGGAGGCCACGTAGCATGTGCCAAAACTCTTCTGGAAGCTGGAGCCAATGTAAGTACCTCTTTATATCAACAGTGTCCCAACTACTGACTGAGAGAATCAGAGTTCTTCCCTTTTCCTCAGTAGCTTTTAAAAAGACAGTAACAATAAAAGGAAAATCACTGAATCACCTCAGCTTTCTCAAGGATTTCCAACCATTGTGTAAATATGTAACATGCTTTTAAAAGGATTTCCAACCATTGTATGAGTGGGTAACATGGTGCACAATAATGGAGAATATTCTTTAGGTTATTTTCTGCTTTCATGACTAGCAAGAGATGAACATCCTTGGACCTATAATGTTTCCTAAATTTTTCTTGATTTTCCTTAAATTCTTTCTCAGAAACAGAATGACCAGTTTTACCAGTTTAGTCGTAAGCACAGTGACTTCATCACTATTTTCATCAATATTACATTTTCCTTCATTTATTCCTATTGAAACTAACTTAATGATTTAATTAATTTTTATTTGGTACTTGAGTATTTTTTTCCATAAGTTTTATGAGTTGCATTCCTATTCCTGTGAGTTATCTGCCACATCATATCTATCTTCTGAAGTTTTAAAGCTTTTCTTATTGATAGGTATGAACTAAGTATACTTTGTCATATTTACTGCACACGTCTTCCCAACTATTTCAGGTGACAGATGCGATGGCTTTTGAAATTTCAAAACAGAGTTAATCATGTATGATTTATGAATCTTATTCTTAGCTTTTGGGTTTGGTTTAGGTAAATGCAATCACAATAGATGGCGTGACCCCATTATTCAATGCATGCTCACAAGGCAGTGCAAGCTGTACAGAACTTCTTCTGGAATATGGTGCCAAAGCTCAGCTAGAGTCCTGTCTCCCATCTCCCACACATGAGGCTGCCAGTAAAGGTAACTCACTTATGGGAGTAAATGAAGAGTGTGTAGGGGAGGTGGAGGAGTCTTTGAAATGCCCTGCTTCACTTTTCTCTCTTGGTGAATTACACTTCAAGGGGGAGCATGATTTAAGATGAATGTGGGGTGAGTAGGCATGAGTGAAAGGAACCTCATTGGTACTTTTGTGTTGGCAGGTCATCATGAATGTCTCGACATATTGATATCCTGGTGCATAGATGTTGACCAAGATATTCCTTATTTAGGAACACCTCTCTATGTTGCTTGTATGTCACAGCAATACCATTGCATCTGGATGCTTCTTTATGCTGGTACTTTTTTTTAAAACATTTTCTTTTCTGTCCCTACACACAAGCAATTATTTCTCTAAATCAGCTCCTTTCAAAATTGTATCTTACTTCTTTACAAATGTTCTCTTTGTAAACATTCTCTAAGTTTATAACCAATAAAAAGGACTTTATTATTGATAACACTTAAAGATGAATATATAATTTCAGTTGGGTATGTAAATGGAGTCTGAAAGCTCTACTTATAAAATGCCATGAAATTTAAATCCTCAAGGTTGAATATAAAGTTGCTACATATACATGTATCTTTGAGCAAATCTATCAAAAGAAAATTTAGGGATAGAAACTTCTTGGATAATTTTATATTCTAACAACCATAAAAACTTATGCACTTTCCTGAATTTTGCACATTCTGTCCTGTTTAGATGAAATAACTTAATATCCTTTTCCACTGTCATGAAATAACGCAGTTCCTCAAGGTTTGGCATCAGCCCCCAAGAGACATTTTTAATCTATTGAAATCATAATGGTCTTTTCCACCACATACCCAAGAGCTTCTTTGGGCTGTGGATCATGATTCCCCTCGCCATCATTTCTTTTCTTTACTACAGTGCCTCCCTCTCATGTGGTACAGACACTTAGAATATACATAAAATGAGCAAATGGGTTTCTACTTATTATTTATGATATTCATTTGACCCTTAATATATTCAGACATATATTTTAGTAAACCCACTTACTATGTATTACTCAAATTATCTCAGCTAAGTTGTAAATTTCTTGCAAGCAGGATCTGCATCTATTTCATTCTTATTACAGCTAGAGCTTAAACATGAGTTCTGTTAATAATTACTAACAGATTGCAATTTTCTAGCGATGTTTTCCCATAAATTTGGTATAACCAGTAGAGTTTATATTTTATCCTCTTTCTTCATTTTGCGAGGAATATTATTCTTTCCACCAAAAATTTTATAATGAAGTTTTAAAAATATTGAAAAACTGCTGTTAGTAATTGCTGATTGTTATTTTCAGGCCATAGTCTCATAAAATTGATATAATCCACAGAATTTGTAATTTCTCTATGGAAATTTTTGCATGGAATATAATTACTTCCCTGAACATTTTATATTTGCTGTAAAAATATTGAAAATGATTGCATTTATTGAAACTTGTAAGTAGTAGAACAGCAATAAAAGAAGTCATAAAATACATTGCTTAATGGAGATAATCATTACTTTTACAAATAGTATCAGAAAACAGTTGAAAAGTACTTATTCATTTTTATTAATAGAGATTTCTTGACATTGTAACTATTTATATACCAAAAAGTGAGATTATTATTATTATTTCTACAGTGTTGAACTGCATTTATTTGTTGCATGCACTTGACCAGCATCTGTCAGTCCTTACACCAAGACAAAATAACTTTCATTAAATAACTTCTGATGCAGGGTTGTATTTTTTTACTGTAAGCATTTTTTTAAAAATTACTTTATATGTAGATATCATTGATGTACTTACCAATTTGATGTCTGTATTACATTTATTGATTTAAACTAAATGATTAAATCAGGGCAGGAAAAGCATATGCTTTACCTAAATGGCTCACATATCTAGAGTGGTGAGTTTTTCAAAATACTAAAGAACTGAATTACCTTTGAATACAAGGATAAAGTAATAAATTCTTGACTATCTTAAGAACTTCTACTTTTGATGAAAATAGATACACATGAATTTAATCATGCTATGCTTATACTGGTGCAATTTTTCTGCAATAATTTAAAAATTTATAAGTCTCTATGAGATCTTTCAAGCATATAGAAAAATATTTTAGAATAATATATCAAATGTATGTACCACTTCTCCAGATGTTCCAGTTTAAGCCTTTTTTATATGTAATATATGCTGGGTGTGGTGGGGCACTCCTGTGATCCCAGCTGAGCCAGAAGGATAGCCACGAGTTCGAGGTCAGCCTGGAATTCATAGTGAGTTCAAGGCCAGCCTGAAGCATGTAGTGAGGCCCTGTCTCAAAAAACCCAAACAAGCAAACAAACAAAACCCATGTTTTAAAAGTAGTGTATATGTTTAAGGAATATACAAAAAGTATATAAGTAATATATATGTAAATAAATAATTCATTTTAGAAGAATAAGTCTTCCTTGTACCCTTCTTCAATTGCCTTTCTAGTCCCTCAGAGGTAACTGATTCATCAATAATTTTTCTTTGTATTTATCATTGCTATTTATACATAGGTGCTGATGTACAGAAAGGCAAATATTGGGATACTCCTTTACATGCTGCTGCTCAACAATCCAGTACAGAAATTGTAAACTTACTGCTAGAATTTGGAGCAGATATCAATGCAAAAAATGCAGAGCTTTTGCGACCTATAGATGTGGCTACATCTAACCATGCAGTGGAAAGAGTTCTGCTTCAACATGAAGGTAAGAGGGATAGATGTGAACACTGATACAACACACAGATTTGCCTAAAATAGATGAAATCAAAAAGTTTTTGTTGGCAGGTAAATTAAGATACTGGCATATAATTTGGAATATTTTTATGAGATTAGAACATTTTCAACTTAGGTTTTATCTATGAAGAAAATATGGTGATTTAAATTTTCTTTTTTTGTCATTTCTAAGCTTTCTAAATTCCCTTTGTTAAATACATTTAGCTTATTTTGCCAATGCATAAATATATAGTTCTGGTACAATGACTGATGTCCTAGTTTGTGAAGGCATATGTCTTCTGTAACGTGTTGAAGAAACATGATAAGGAAATGACAAAGACAAATTTTTACACTTAAGTCTTTTGTTTTAAAATAGAATTTTTAAACCTGGTTGAGAGAGTAGAAGAAAATTTCCTTCAGCTTAAAATTAGACCTAATTTGAGAATAAATATATAATTTTTAAATTTTCCTTTTTAGTGTAGAACACTCCTTAGGGCTTTTGATTTATATCTCCTTCAAAAGAAGAATTTGTCTCTGAGGCTTTGAATGCAACAATAATTTCATAATCCTGCAGGTGATAATGTTTTTAATAATATGAGATGTATATTGGTTATATGATCTTGAAAGCAATACAAATGCTTACATAAATGTTCATAGTGTATTTGTCATACTATCCTATTTAGTAAAAGTCACTGCATAGCAGATCTCTTTCATGTCACTAATTATAAAATTCATTTTGATTTTAATTAACAAATATATTCATGTCTTCTTGTAGCTACCCCAAGCTCTCTTTGCCAACTTTGCCGACTCTGTATCCGAAATTGCATAGGAAGACCAAGATTGCATCTTATCTACCAGCTTCAGCTACCGACATTACTTCAGAATTTCTTACAGTATCGATAAATAGTGAAATAATTCTAAATTCTTCGAAAATCAAAGATTTCTATTTCATTTTCATAATGAATATTTCTTTTTAATATATGCTAGGCTAAAGTGAGTTGCTATCACATGGGGAAGCAGCAAAATATCAATATTCATTTTAAGTATACTAATTAGTACTTTTGTTTTATGAATTTCACTGTTTTGGGATTATAATATGTTTAAATATCTATACCTTATTGTCCTTTTGTTGTTGAGAAAAATTTAGAAATTCTCCATTTTATATATTTTTCAAAGTAGCATGTAAAGAAAAACATAAACTCTTACTAAAATTTTAATTTCATGCTGTTTGTATTTTAAAAGTTCTATGTTCTCCAAATAATGGATTAACTTTAGTTTTGGCTACTGTGCTTATCTCTGTGTTTTTACTATTGATGCAACATATGAATACAGTTTAGAAAAAAGGAACTAATATGCTGTTTGAAATAAAGATGATTCTCATTCAGGAAATCTACTATGGTGAATGTGCACTTGTCATTATAATGATCAGTTCATGAGGAAAAGATAAATTGCTCTGCTCTGCGCAAAGAGCTCAGTCTTTTCTCCACAGCAAATAGATCTTTTATAGTAACTAGTGGGACTGAAAGTGAGCACTGCCCTCTCACCCTAAGATATTTAGAACATCCTCCACCTGCTAAAGCTATTTTAAGACCTTCCCCAGAGCAGCTCCCTAAGGCCTTTCTTCAGTGTTTTCATAACACTACTCCACCCTTCTTCTATTTCAGAAGTTATCAATCATTAGTGGTTTGCTTACACGGGAGAAAATTTTGATCTCAAAAATAGAAAGAAAGCTGTGGCTTACTGGTTAAACAATATATTATATATGGTTAGGAACCTTTAAATATCTGTTTTACAGAACATCTCAGTCTAATATATTTGTAATGTCCAGAATAATGTGCATTAAGAAGGGTTTTATTATAGAATAACCTCATTAAATGTAATTAGATATGAAAGCTACTTTTTTGTAGAACAGGCTTCTATTATTGTTTTTCCTGAATTAGAGGTAAAGGCTTAGATTGAAAGAGTAACACAACACATTCTTCTTTGTTAGTCTTGTGAAATAAGAAAAGTAAACATCAAATATGAAAAAGGACATTAAAATTTTCTGTACATTTTTATCTTAGCTCAGTATGGCTGTCTTATCAAAGAAACACTCAGATTTAAATGTATCATACCTTTGTTAGGATGAGATTATCATTTCTTGGAATAAAACACTTTTTATTCTAAATAGTATTTTATTTTAGAATGAAAGGGGATGGAAAATATGATTCAATTGCATAAATCTTTTAAAAGTCACTGTATTATGAACATGAGAGTAGAGTAATATGGAGCAAAAAATAGATACAGTACCTCAGAGGTCTTATCCAAAATGTATCCCCCACATACATACACTATATCGTGTGCACGTACAAACTCATACACTAAGGCCCAAGGACAAAATTGCTCAAAGGCAAAGAGTAAAATAATTTACCATTTAACATAAGATTAAGATTAGTGAAATAATTTCTGTGGATAGGCAATATAGAATATATATACTGTATTTTGGAAGGGAAAATATTTAATGTCTAGTATTTTTAAACCACAGCATAGATTTGATGATTTTGAGAAATTAAATAGAAACATAGGGCTCTTCAGAAATGAAAGTTTCAAAGTATCTACTTTACAAAATGGCATCCAATTCAAATAACTGTTATTCATCTACAAACTAACTTAGAATTTCTTCTCTTTCATGGCTAATTTCACCTTGAATTGGCAGTCCCAAGATGGGATCCAAGGCCTTCGCCCTGAGCAACATCTCCATTGCTTTTTCCTTTTCTATTTCATTTTGAGACAGAGTCTAAGTTGCTAAGTTGTTCAGGTGAGGCTGAAAATTCTTATTCTCTGCCTTACCCTCCTGGAGGGCCAAGGTTCCAGGCATGGGCTACCATGCCTAGCGTTTTACTGTTCTTTCCCAGATTTTTCCCTTTTTTCTTTTTTGTCACTTGTCACTTAGGTTATTTTAAGGCTTCCCTTCTTTCTCAGAAACCTAGATAAACATTTCAGACTTTCAATATTGATGAAAAATTTGCTCATAAAATCATTAGCTATCCATCTGCTCTATGAATCATGAAATCTCGATAGGTCTGTTTTTTCACTTTTTAAAATGATCAGTTTCTTCCCATTTGAAGTCTGCATTCATATTCAGTGACTTTTAATAAGTAATTCTGGGGCCTTAAAATATTTTAAATGTAATTTTTCATCTATGAGAAGTGTATATTGTGAGTACAAATTTCATAAACCACAAATTCACATGTGCGAAAAGACTATTCTAAACAGAACCTAATTTTTAATTTCCATTTCTAAGTAAACTAAAGTGAATTTAGTGATTTCTGAGTCTTTCGAGTCGTTAAGATTTCCAGATGAACTCAGTCAATTCAAGTTGTCCTCCTTGCACTTCATTTCTCCTAGGAGGGTATCTGAAGTCCAGGAGACTTCTGTGAAATCCCCTTTCAGTTGGACTGGGCCTTGGCAGTGTCTGTCCCCTGGGACACTCAAGTGTGTTGAGAGAGTGAGTCTTAGGCAGATGACTTGAGACAGGGATTAGGTCAGAACACAAAAAGCTTTTACCCTGATTTAAGAAAGCTACTAATACAAAAGTCAAAAACAGACTCCTACAATTTGTGTTGTCTCCTGGCCTTTGCAAATGTTGTTCCCTGTGCCTAAAAAACACCCTACTCCATCTTCTGTTTCATAACTGTTGCATTTGTACCAATAATTAGGTGAAAATAGTACTCTTTCATGAAGTAACTCAGAATACCAAATCTGTTTACGTGCCCATCTGTTCTCTTTGCGACCCTCTACTCACATTCATATAACTAGAATAAACTTACTTGTGTGTTTGTTTCCACTATAGTTTATGACTTCATTGTAGGCTGCGCCATGTTCATATTGACACCTTCCTCCTCCTCAGTAGAAGATTTGTCTACCTCTTTCCCCTTAAGGACTACCAAGTGCCTTTTCAATTAGCTTGAAACACAAAAGCTCTTTTCTGTTCTGGCCACTAAGGGTGTAAGTGATTGTATGTAGGAAAAGAGCATCATTTCTCACAGCATGAGAACAGGAAAAAGATGTTAAATTCAACTGCTTCATAATCATCATTCCTATTGCAAAGATAAAAAGGAAAGGCTGCATGTATAAGTGACTCAAATATTTAGAGGTTTGCAGAGGAGACATCTGAGGAGTTAGAGATCCCTGACACCAGTCCTTTGGAGCAATCACCATGGAAGTCTCCTTACTCATTTTCCACTACTTGCTGATGTTAGATGTCTATCCCTTCCATGCTGCATAAGACCTAGAATGCAGCATAAATTCTTGCAATCATACTAGGATGGTCTTCTCAAAGATGCTATTAAATAATAAATTTATTTCAAAGAATTTGAGTAACAATACATATGACTTCATTGAGTAACATAACATGTGACATAAAAATTTACTAAACTTATAGTCACTAACAAGTCCAGCACATGGAATATGGATCATGTTCCACCTCCTTTCAGATATGATTGGGAATTTTCCTCCAAAAGCTGCCCTCTGTGCACTGAAAGATAGATAAGTAAGTGAGATTCTCTGATGTAAGATGTTGGAAAAATATGGCATAAAGCAATTACAGTGGACCCTTGACTTATGAACTCAATTCATTTTCAAGGGCTGGTTGTAACTCAAGCTGGTTGTAAGTCAAAACTATTTTTCCCATAAGAAATAGTGGAAATACCCATAATGCATTTCAAACCTCCCAAAGTACCCCTTAACCTTTCCATAATAAAAACGGGTTGTATAGATGCATAATTTATCAGGAACACCAATAATTTTCCTAGTGTATACACCAAAATGTTATAAAATATTCCTAGCTTATCAGAAACAATAATTTCATACAGTACTCACCATTCAAGTCGACATCTTTGGCTTGCAAGAAGGGAGGATGAAATGGAAGGTGGTTATTGTTTGGAAGGAGGGTCTCCTTCCATAAGAACATCAGGAATCTGGCTCTCTGGTGTACTTTCTCTCCTTGGGAGAGTCTGTAGCCCACTACAACCTGCTTCTGGATCACTAAGTCTCAACCAGCATTGAGGTCAAACTCAAGCCTTTGGTCCTAAGCTAAAACTAAAACTCTGCTTGTAACCCAACTTGTTCACATGGGAGGCTGGTTATAACTCAAGGGTCCACTGTATAACTGATTTGAGATAGAAATGCCACAAGAATAAGATTGTGTTGTAAAAGATACACACACAGAAAGGTGAGAGAGAGAGAAGAGGAAGGCGGAGGGAGGGACAGAGAGAGGGAGGGAGAGGGAGAGGGAGAGGGAGGGAGAGGGAGGAGAAAGATCTCCAGAAAATCACAAATTTATACTGATACTGGGCTTTTTTTTTCAGGGATGTTCCCTTTTAACCTGCCTGCTGTTCCTCTATTTTGAGGCAGCAACAATCTCAGGCTAAGAGCCACAATAGCAGTGAGATAGAAGAATCTCAGAATTTTCAGAGTTTACAGGACACTAGGATAGTTGAGCACTAAATATGAACTCTTCTGGACTTCCCATAACACCTCATTCCCTCTAATTAAAAATAATGTTAAGGAGCCTCTCTTTCTTGAAAGAAAAAGAAGTAACTAAAGCACATAAGCAAGATAAGATGCAAACTTCTACATCCCCTCGCAAAAGATGAAAATTCTTCATGGATATATCTGCTTAACTGGTTTTAAGCCAGCAAAAGGTTATCAACAGATATAATATCAAAAGTCTCTTGCTTTCTATCACTCATCACTAGTCTTTTTCAGACCAGATTCTTAATGCCAAAAAAGAGAGGTGAGTAAATGCCTTTTTGAGTATGTCCAACATACTCATACTAAAGATGAAAGGAAACAGGAACTAATAGATGATGCAACTTACTATGGAAATCTTTGCATTAGAAGGCTACTAATTCCTTCTGTTGTGCTCACCGAACAATTTTTTTCTTTTGTGCTCACAACACAAGGGCAAATCCATAAATATTTAGAGAATAGCCAAGAGAGGAGCCATCAAGCGAATGTCACATGTGCTAGTCAGGAATCTATCAGTCTGCTTAACTAGTTCTGCCATTGAGGTCCTTGTCACAGAGTTATATAGAATAATTTACATGAGGCAATTAAACTGTGTGAAGCTTTAAAGCAACTTTGCAAGTCTGAGCAGCCAAAATGGTCCTCAAATTGAACTGCATAGTCTTGGAAGGGAGCTATGCAGTTGGTACAGAAAATAGTGACCCAGTAAACCTTACTGCTACCAGTCATTATTGTTAATAGTTTCAGAGATAAAGCAATTATATCTTGAATTTGTTGAGGGTAGATTTCTGAAATCCCTGCCTCTTGGAGGCCAATAATATATATATTTTAAGCTGACATATCAGGATCGTTACATTTGAATTTCTCTCATAATGACCCAATAGAGGATTTTTCATAATGAGAAAGGGGACACTCCAGGAGATATAAATGACCTGAATATATCAAAGAAAACATCAGCTGGAATTCTATTCTAAATCGGATTAATTCACTCTGCATATACAAGCGACACTGATTAAGTCCATTTTCCCAAAATTTGAGATATTAGCATTTTTGTGCCAAAATCAAACAGTACATGCTAGTGAATCACCAAACAATAAAGATTCCCAGGATTCAAAGAAGAAATGCACTTGATTCCTCATGGGTGTATGACTTGATATCCACCAAGAAAGATCACTTGGCTGGACATGGTGATGCAAAGCTATAATCACAGCAACACAGGAGGCCGAGGTAGGAGGACTGAAAGTTCAAAGCCAGCCTGGGTAATATAGCAACTTGTGAGACCTTGCCTCAAGGAAAAAAGAAGGCTGAGGATGTAGTGCAGTGCTCAGGCTCTGCCTTCAATCCTCTGTACTGAAAAAATAAAGGAAGGAAGCAGGGAGATCATTTATTGATTCAGAGCAGAATTCATCAGTCAATTCAACATGAGGACAGATGCCATCAGGAGCAGTGCACGGGCCCTGCAAAACTGTCTTATATGAGGAGTTTGAGAAGAGAAAATATGATATGTGAGGAATGAGGGACCACATTCCCTTCCTGTGGGAGTGGGTGAGGGTGCAATGCATGGCAGGGCAGGCCTTTAGGTTTCCTTTTTCAAGGTGTGACTATGTCTGAATGGAACAAAGGGATAAAGGCACGGAGAACACATTGTCTCTCATCCTTCCCTTATCCATATATAAGATGGAATTAGCACTTTAGTCCCAGCTTTTCGAAAGAAATTTTTAGGTTTTACAGAGGGAGTGGAGGAGAGTATGGACAGAGAAGGAAACAAGGGCTCCATCTCTTTGTGTTTTGCTTGTGATCAGGCAGGATTCTTATGGTTTAGTCCTTCCTCAGCATGGAAGCAACTAGCATTCTCAACATGACTTGTCACTTTGGACTTCCCACTTCAGATGCTTATTAAGAGGGTTTTAAACGTGAAAGTGGACCACTTTACCAGTTCCATGCATGGCAAGAAGTTAATGTTCTTGTAATTTCCTCTCCCTGGTCCCCTTTCCCTTTCATACTCATTAGAAGGAGAAGCTTGAAGGTAAATATTGTGGTTTCCTGAAAACCACAGGATTGAAAGAGGTGAGGGATGTAATGTGCCATGAGGGACTGAGCATTAGGTTTACAAGGTGGGTAGGATGGTGTCTTTCCCCCATGCTTGTTGTGCTGTGCCATGTGGGGCAAGTGCCATTTTTATACCACAACTAGGCTCTGTCTGCCCCCTCCCATCTTCCCCCCATTGCCACATGCATCACTTCCCCCTTCACCCACAGAGGGAAAAAAATCTGAAGGGACACCTGAGGGGGACTGGTTACATTTGAAGGAGGTCTGAGCAAGCAAAGTCCTTTTACTTCCTATCTAAACTGAGCTACCCAGAGAAAGCAAACTCCAGGCTCTGCTTCTCTATATCCTACAATTACAGCAGTTGATCTCAATCCCTGTCCAAATCCCACACACCTGAACTGGAGCACTTCACTCATATGCTGGAGTGCAGATTAGGAAGATCCTGGCCCACAGGCATCAGTCATGTCCTCATATAATAATTTCATCAGCAATACACTTGCATTTGTTCCAACATTTTGCATCTTTTGATTCAACCTCTATACAACCTAACAGGGTAATCAGAAAGGTGTAAATTTAAGTCTCTTAGTATTTATGGATGGAGAAAAATGTCTGTTCCTATTGGAGTTTTCACTTGTAAAGTGATGGTTAAGCTCACTCTAGTTATTATCAGTTGTAACTGGCTTATTAGTTGTAATTACAATTTTCTTAATGAACATTATCCAGTCTCATGTACAAATGAAGACCAGAAATTGCCGAATATATTCTCAATATAAATTTTGTTGAGGAAAATACTTTTAATATGAAAGTAGCCTAAATACAATAAAGTAATGCATACTAAAGAGATGAAAAAACAAGACTGATCACTTCGCTTCAAAATTAATCAAAATTTAAGTTTAACATGAGGTATCAAAATATTTAAGTAAACTATTAGATTACTAAATCTTGTAGTCATTTTTAAGACTGCAATATTGGAATATAAAATATTTAAATGGTAATATAGATAGTAGCTATATTTTTAAGTATATAGTTCTGTTTGAAATATAAACAACTTCTCTAGATCATGTGTGTGATAATTAATTGTCATGTGAACCTGAATGGATTAAAACTGCCTAGTGGATTAATGGCACGCAGTTCTGGGTGTTTCTGGGTGATTGATTTGTGAGCTGAAAACTGAGGAGGAAGACTCAGCCTAGATGTGAATGGCACCAACCAATAGGCTTGTAACTTGCATGGAATAAAAAAAGAAAGAAGTAAGGCTACCCTTTTGCTTTTTCAGAGCAGTTCTGGTCTTTGCCATCACCTTGAACATTCCTGTCCAGTACTTTCAGGTTTCTAACACAGACCCTTCAGCTTCCAATGCAAACCCTTTGACTTTCTCACAAAGACTCTCACTGATTCTGCAGTGAGCTCCAGGTCTATCTATGACTTTCCAGTGGAGCTTCCAACTCTCCAGTGCACAAGCAGGTGGCCATTATAAGCCTACCTAGTAAATTTATATTATATTATATTATATTACATCATATCTGTTCCTGTAGTGAACCCTAATTGATACAACATGTTTATTTTTCCCATTCAACTTCAAAAGATTGCTAGGAGATGGTAGAAGTGTTAATAAATCCTGAACCAAAACATTTCAGTGAAACAACTCTGAAAATCCAGTCTGTGACAACTATGAAATATTGCAATTTTAGGGTGAGATTCCCCTTGAGGTTAAATACAGATGAAGACAAAAGTACTTCAATGCTGCAGCCAACATAGATGCTGGAGATCAGAAAAGGGAAATGTATTTAATAGTGCTTTTTACTAAACCTATTTGTTATGGGTCTCTTGAGCTTCTGTACATCTTGCGAGATGATAATCAGAGATGATAGTCCCTAACAAATGCAATACTGCTATGATCTGGAAAGTACTCTTTCACCTCTATAACCATCTGCAGGGACTACAGTTTTTCATTTTATCTATGGGGCTCATAAGTATACATTCATAATCTTACTTTAGGCCAAATGAATTTTCTTCCTCTTCCAATATCAGTAGCAATATTTGAGTGTCTTAACATCTTACAGAACATCACACTGGCCTTCATATTAATGGTATTATGCTGACTTGACCTGAACAAGAAGAAGCAAGTTCCTTAGATACCTTAGTAAGATATAGGTGAGCTAGTGCTGGAGGGAAACCTTAGTCCAGGGGTCATTCAACATCCAGTCTGGAAAAAGAAGTCATTCCATCTACTCAAGACCAAGAACCTAATTACAGAACTGTATAAACAGACATTGAAGAATGAAAAATTAAAATGAAACTATCAAAATAACCCAAAAATAGATGCTTCAGAGAGCAATTATCTATGCTAGGGAAGATGTTGAGGTTATAAAAGTCTAGCAATAGGAGGAAAAGCCCTATGGACTCAGATCTCTGAGGAGAAGGGCATATTCAGCAGGTGCTGACCTTCAGCAGTTTAGTGGAACTGTCCCAGAGGAAAATCTGGGTCTTGGATTTACAAGGAGGGCAAATATTTATTGTTGCTAAAATCTCTGAGGGAGCATGATGAAACCTGCTAGTAGTGCTAAAATAAAAGTTGGAGACTGGAACCAACTTCCAGTGCCAGGTGAGGCTTTGTTGCTGTGGTGACACAGAAATGAACAGCAAGCAAATGGGAAACAGTAAATCTCTCCTCTCTTCCTCTGTCCTTCGGGTCTTTCTATTTAGTCCCTGCTATTAGCAGAACTTACTAAAATCCTTAGCAAAGGAAAAATTACATTGCCCAATTCCAGCTCCAGCATCAAAGACCACAGACAAGTGTACCTGCAACAGAGATATAGGTACTTAACAGCACACTTATTATAGGAAAAGTCTTACTCTACAGCAGTACTGCTCAAAATTGAACCCCAATCTGTAGCCCTAATTTACCTTTCTAGCCATTAGAACTTAAATCTTGGGTTAGTCTTTCTGCTAATGCTTAAACATTTTCTCTAATCCTAACAGTTATTTGTTATTTCCTGAAACTCATCAAAAAAATTCTCACATCTCTCTTTGTTCGTATCAGTCATTCTGTGTAGAATTATCTACGTCCTTCTTATCATGTTCATTTTAGAAACATTTTGTACTCAATAAGCACACTGTCCAGCATGTTGCTCTAGGCCCTTTATATATATAACTCATTTATTTAATTATCACAGCAACCCTGTGAGGTTTATAACATTTATTTCCATATTTTACAAATAAAGATAGTTAAATAACTTACCCAAAGTCACATAGAGCCAGTCCTCCAAAGTCTGTGTCTTACCCAATTCAAAATATTGCCTTATAAGATCAAATTTAAAGGTCAACTCTTCTGAGAGGACTTCTAGGCTTCTCCAGGACATATCATTTGCTTCACCCTTGTTCTAACACATGGCCAGATTTTCAATGTAGGTGATCTTTTCACTGATATCTAAGTTGTGTAAAGATTCTCTAACTCTTGTAAAGATTCTAGTGTACAGCTGTCAAATAGAACTACCTGCAGCAATGGAAAAGTGCTGTATCTGTATGCTCCAGTATGATAATCATTAGCCACATGTGGCTATTCAACAGTTGAAATGTAGCTATGTTACTGAAATTTATGTTATTTAGATTGATCTAAGTTTATGTTGTTGTGGCTACCTTATTGGTTAGTGAGAGGCTAGTGCATAATTCAGGATAGTTTCTCAAAAAAGTTCATTGCATGATTGAATCATTCATGAAAATTTTCACTGGGTAAAAAAAAATTGGCAGAGCTTTATTTTTTCTTTTTTAATGATTTACAAATTTGCATTGTTTTACTTTGTTAATAAACATGTATACAAACATTCAACAAAATATACATCTACAAGACCATCCCATGTTTCATCTTGGGTAATGTGTATCTACATTCCACATTACATGCATTTTTTGCTGCAAAAATGTTTAAAGGATTTTAATAATTTTGCTTGTGTAAATATTTAATTTATAATTGCCTATGTCCACTCTGCAATCATTATTTTTCATCCTTCACTGATAAATACTAAGTGATTGGATGAGTTCCTGGCACCTAGGGGGGACTCGAGTGTTTGTTGAATGGACGAATGATTCATACATAATAGGGCGTGCTAGAGAAGTGGAAAATCTAACCTACAGATTGTTTTCAATTGCAGCATTTTTATAAACGCTTGATGTAATGATTAAGGAAACAGGTGTGCTACATAATGAAGTCCCCTCTCCCCCTTGGCTTTTAGAAACAAAGCCTTATGGCTTCCAATTCTCAAATACCTTTTGTTCCTGTCCTCTGGAGCTTTTCCACACCCTTCCTCAAAATGCTTGAGTGAATTTAGGCTGTTGGCTGGGCAGAAACTGCAATATTTAAAATACAAAATTCATGAACCAGGAAATTAAAAAATAAAGCTCTAAATTGGTTGCTAGTGAAACTAACTACCTCTGAGATTGAAAGCTCCGCTCAAGGATTAGGCTACCAGCCCGTCCTGGGCGCTCCTGGCCTCGGACTCCCAGCCCTTCGCCCCCCACCCCCACCAGGAGGCGCTGTGTGGACGCTGGCCCCGCCCCTCTGAGCCAAGACCCCGCCTCGCCACTGCAGTTGCCATAGGAACCCTGAAAGCGCCACGGCTGCCGCCGGCCAGGTAGAAGCTTGCTCGTCAAAGCCGGCTGCGGCTCTGAGTAAGTCGACGGCACTTTCGCCACAGTCAGCAGCTCCGATCCTAGGGAAGCCAAGGAAGTGTGTGGTCTATCCGCATCCTCCGAAGAAATCCCGCGTGTCTCGTTCTGTTCTCCGCTGGCTCCAGGGCCTGAACCTCAGCTTCTTCCCCAGGAACATCAGCAGGTGCTAGAAGGAGCCAGGCCCAGACCCAGGGAACACCTGACCCAGCGCCCCCAGAGCCGCACCACCTGGGTACTTCGCCTGTCGGGCTTTGGCGCGGGAACCGCTGCGCCTCCGGTTGCCTGCCCTGGCCTAGTTTTTGTTCTGGATCAAGACCTCCGCCCTCTAGTCACACATGCAAACACTGGAGTTTAAGAAAGGCTTTAAGGCTTAAGAAAAATATGATGACGCATGTCGTTCATTTAACATATCACTGAATTGTAGATTTAAACTAATATCGAATGCTTTAGTATTACAAAAATACTAAAATAATCAAGGCTCTTTCTTTAGGGAGACTGAGCTTTACTACTACTCAGGATTGATCTATCTTCTTACAAAGGTGGCATCTAATTTGAGGGATATCAGGGATCTTAGAAATTTGCTATTTAAGGATGGCTCCCCTGCACGTAACTGGCGGTTAATATTTTCCCTGAGAATGTAAAGTAAATTTTGCAAAAATTAAGGCCACCAATCTTGCAGGAAAGACTCTGGGTTTGCTAATATTGGTATTCCAATAGTATATATTATTATATTACAAAGATGCACCTGAAACTTCCTGTGAGTATGTAAATCACCTGGGGATCTTGTTAAAATTTAGATTCAATACAAATTATAATTTGAGTTCCTTGAAAGAACACCAAAGCCTTTTCTGTGTATATAATCTCAGCAAAATGTTGTTACAATTAGTTCTTTCTCAGTGTAATGATCCAACAAAATGAATTTTACAACATAGTGTGGAATATTAGATTGGTTTTTATTATAGTATAAACTATTGTTAATTATGCTTTATTTCATTTCCTTATTGCCATAGATCAGAGATTTTTCAAATGGCTTCCTGATTGCAGAAATATTCTGTATATATTATCCCTGGGACCTTAAATTATCATACTTTGAAAATGGAACCTCTTTAAAAGTCAAGTTGGATAACTGGGCACAATTAGAGAAGGTAAGTTTTCAACCCTTTTTCATTAAATTTGTTTTTTAAAGGGTCTACTCTGAATGTCACAGGTATTTGTGTGTGACTGTATGTTAAGATACAAGGCTATGGAGTTGGCAGCTTGTTGGAACAGTGTATGGAAAGAGTAATTAAATTTCATTAAATTCTAATTGTTTATGTCATGAATCACCTGTAAAGCCAAGTGTACTCTCTTCTCACACTTCAATTAGTGTGAGATATAAGTTTTTCCTGTTCAATAATAATGTATTATCTTTTCATAATTAACATGGTAAATATCAGAAAATTAGTTGATATACAAGGGGGGTTGACCATAGTAGTTGGTGATTTTTGTGGAATTTTTTTTGATGAAAATATTTTCTTTCTATTATTAAAGTTTCTGGCAAAAAAGAAACTTAAATTACCTAAAGAACTAATCCATGGAACAATTCATTGTAAAGCTGGAGTACCTGAAATATTGATTCAAGAAGTTTATACTTTGTTAACACATCGAGAGTAAGTTATTTCAAAGTTTCTAGTAATACAATCTGAAATTTTAGTAATTCAAATCTCTTTACCCAAAATGTGCCTTGTCAACAATATTTTTTAATTACAGAATGGAGAGTATCCAGGATGACATTGTGAATTTCACAGACTATAGTTACCAGATGCGGTTACCTCTGGTTTCCAGGCCTACAGCTTCAAAGTTTATTAAAGATAACATTAGGTTAACGGAACTAATAAGCAATCCCAACATGCTGAGCAATGAACTTAAAGTAGAGTTCCTCTTACTTTTACAAATGTTGCAAAGAAAATTAAGCAGAAAATTGAATCCAGGTAAGTTTCCTTAGAAAAAGCTGAGTTGTTCCAAACTCAGTGAGACTAATCTTGAGCACAGATGAAAGAAAAGCCTGCCATGGGGCTCTTTCTGCCTTCTGTCACTGGCTAAATGGGAAAAGGCTTCTCCAACAGTAGAATGGTTTATTAGCAGTGAAGTGGCTTTTAATTCATTCCTTTTAATGAAAGAACAAATTAACATAAGGTATAGGACTTCTTTTTAGAAAAACATTTGCCAATTTATTCAAACTTTTGATGATGTAAGTTCATATATCAACTCAAGTAACTCAAGAGGATGGGAATGTTTCAGAATACAGATCCTTTGGGGGAAAAGCTGGATTACCATGATTTACTCTTCATGTTGTCTAGACAATGGTCAGTGTTATCGTTTGCATAGTATCCTTGTTGGTATGTGGATGATGGCTAGATTGGAGCAACTTGTGGTACCTTCCCAGAGGTATGATTGAAATCATTACCAAAGCAACCAAAGCACTGCCATCATCTGAGACCCAAAGAATGATCCCCCTTTGTGTTTTCTAGCACTCTAATTAGGACACCAATCATGTCTTGGAATCTTTTTTTTTTTAATCCTAAAACAGTACCTAATATTTTTATTAACTCTTAAAAAATAATTCACATAGGTATGTAGATGCCAAGCAGGACACACATGAAAGCAAAAAGAGGAACACAACACTTTGAGCACTGAGCTACATCCCCAGCCCTTTTTTGATTTTTTCAAGTTTTGAGACAGGGTCTTGCTATATTAGTACATTGCCCAGAATGGGCTCGAATTTGGGTCTTCCTGCCTCAGTCTTCTAGAGTGCTAAGATTACAGGCATGCACCACCTTGCTTGGAACACAGCAGCACTTTTAAATTTGTAAAAATCAGGAACATGCTGCCAACCCCCTTCATATTATCTTTTCTTGATAGAAAACTGCTTTCAACACAAAGTACTATGCTCCAAAAAATCCAGAATAAATCTTGTAAATCTACAGAAGGACTTTACCTAATGTTAAATAAAGCCTCAGAAATTTACATTTTAATATATGAGCATTGTATCTCAAAAATCTTAAAGAGAGGTAGAGACAGAGGGATGGGTTGGGCGAGAGAGAGAGAGAGAGAGAGAGTCAGAGAGTCAGTCAGTCCTGATTTTATACCAAGCCAGGTGTCTCACTCCTGCTATGCCCAGACCTGGGCCTCTGCTCTGCTGGAAAAGGAAGCTCCCAGCAATTGTAAACCCAGTGTCAGTAAGAAATTTAAAAAGCCTCTTGGAATCTTATTTAACTTGATTCCAGACACCCATTATTTCCATGGTACTCAAACCATTCAGGAAATGAGGCAGATGTAGATTATTAGCATTTCTCTCCCCTTTGTACACTATTTTCTGAAAAAGCATTTTCTCCCTGGTCTATGGAAGGAGAGAAAAGAATCAACTTTACCTTATACTCTGAGAGAGATAACTTGGGTTCTGTCCTCCCTTATTCTTTTTATTTTTTGATCTCCTGTGTTTATTGTTTTGCTTCCTCAATTTGTTCAGATTTCTGGCTCTAACTCTAATTTATAAATAAAGAAATAATTCAGGTTATTAGTATTTTTGTGAAATTTTCATTGCAATTTTGTATGTTTTGAAACAATTTTACTGTGTCTCACAAATGCTTGTATATAATGTATTACAAGGTTTAAGAAAGACTAATAACACTGAATGGAGTATCTTGTGTGGCTTAAGAAATGGAATAATACTGATGGCTTGCGTTTTCACTGAATGTCCCTCTTTGGTCAACTCAGCACACTCCCTTCCAAGAGTACTGTTCTGCTGACTTGGATTATAATTCCTTGATTGAAATACTGGCTTTATTTATCTATACATACTGTATATCTGTTATTCTTCACTTCATTCATATGCATTTCCTGACTTTATTGATTTTATTGAACTTTGTAGTAAAAAGAATGGGTCTCCAGATTGTCTATGTCTAATCTCTGAAACCTGTGAATATGTTACATTACATGGCAAGGGAGCCTTTCTAGAAGTAACTAAAGTATGGACCTTAAAACAGGAAGTATATGCTGGATTATTCAGATGGACCCAGTGTAATCACATGAGCTCTTGCAAGCTAAGATCTTTCTCCAACTAGAATTAGAAAGATGCAGGAAAAGAGAGATTTGAAGTATAACCCATAGGATATCAACCTGTTATTGCTGTGCTGAGACATAGAAAGCATGTGGGTCAACTTCTAGAATCAAAGAACTATGCTTGGCTAACACCTGCAAAGGAACAGGGATCTCAGTTCCACAAATGCAAGGAATTGCCTTCTGCTGAACAACTTTCATGAGCTTGCAAGGAGATTCATCCTCCAACCTTCTAGAAAAAAATGCATCCCTGCCCACACTTTGATTTCAGCCTGAGAGAATCTAAATCAAGAGCTCAGACATCTGTACTGAGATAAAATGGCTATTGTCATAAGTGATGAGGTTCGTAATAATTTGGTATGGCCAAATGACGATGGTATACAAAGTTTGTAGTCAGACTGTTTCCACCATGGCATTACAAACATATTCTCCTATATTTACATTGATGAAATAGAGCCTTTCAGTTTTAAGCTCTTAATTCATTTGAAATTCATATGAAGAACAATTGTTTTTGTATCACTCTTTGAAAAGTCTATTCTTTTCCCCACTCATTTGTATGCCCTCTCATGCTGCAACTTTCTGTATGCTTGGGTCTTTTTCTGAGCATTCTATTCAACTGTGGCTACATATGAGCCACTTCAACACTAATGCTGTTAATTACTATTACTTTATAATTAAGCACTGGTACTTCATAAAGTCCTGGATTTGTTGTATGAGGTATCCTTGTTATTTTATTCACAGCAAATCTGTTGTTATGAATCCACTTATGCCTATTATTACATGTTTGCAATCAGTTCTATCATGTTGAGGTTTTTATTCTTTTCTTATTTTTGTTACATCTACCTTTTTTTCTTTTGGACTGATTATTTTTTTCCAAAGACATTTTTTTCCTGGTACAGATATGAAACTTTTAGATTTTATACTCTTTTTAGTGCTACATTAGAAATTTTAAGAGGCCTATTTATCTTGGGCTAAAATTAATGTATTTCATCTTTTCTTCAAACTACAAAAAACTATGATCACTTTCTGCCACCTCCACAGTTCACGGAAATTCTTTTCTTCAGCATTTAAATTCTGTCAGGTTACTTTAAAACTACAAATCTTCACATTATTTGTTCTTATATTTAAAAGATCATCTTTGCACAGCTCACCTTATCTCTGTTGTCATCTTTTCACTACACCTTCTCTTTAGCCACAGCGTCTCAACCCCTCAATTCTTCCTATTTCTGAGTAGTACTCTCCTCTCTGGTCTGAATAACCCCACACCTTCCAGGTCCTTCAAACTGAGCTTCTTCTCTAGTTCATTTTTTGCATTTTTTATTTTGAGACAGAGTTTCACAAAGTCTTAAGTTGCCCAGGCTGGGTTTAAACTTGAAATCCTGCCTCAGCTTCCTAGGGTGCTAAGATTACAGGTGTGCATGACTATGCCCTACTTCTAGTCTTGAGTTTTGAGACTGCTGATTTCAAAAGTTTCTCATCTGTTGCCAAAGTAATAATAGTGATACTTATATTTCTAAGGATGCTACTATTCAGAGATTTGTTTAGCCTTCACAGGGCATGACAGAAGAGTAGAATTACCTTTGGTATTTCTTCACACTTCAGTGAGGAATGAGCTACAAAAGAAGAAACAACCTTTAGAAGCAAAGACAAATTGCTCAAATACTGCACTGTAGAGGCTTGGTTAATATTAAGTCAATATATTTATCGTATAAACATGTTGGCAAAAGTGCAATAGGTACTCCATAATTTTACTTAATATTAGATATAAAAATAGGCAAAACTAACTTATGACTATAGTAGTCAGGGTAGTATTTTCCTTTTAAGATAAAATCTGGGAGAGACAGCAGAGAATTTTAGGGTACTGGTAATATATATAGTACATATATATATATAAAACATATATAACATATATAATATATATATATATATATATGTTTTTTGATTTGGGTGATGGTACCCCAGATATATTCATTGTAAAAATCACCAGATTAAATTAAATTTATGATTTTCTCACCTTTCTGTCTAAAATTATTGAATAAAAATGCATCAAAAACTAATAAGGACATAGAATATTATCTTTAAAGTGACTTTTAAAAATAACTTTCATGCATCAAAGATTCTGAACACTGTGGGGAGTGGGCTTTTAACCTATTTATTTGTTGTTAGGAATATGAGAAAAACAAATGTTTAATTTTATTAGTTTTTAGTTTATGGTCTTAGTTTGACAATGTCCATTCTAACTTTTCGAGAAATAATTTTGTGTTTATAGGATGGTTTGATGTCAAGCCAAAAATGGGAGAAATTACTCTGGATTATCTTCCCCAGTGCTCTGGGTGTAAATATCCGAAAGTTTCAAAGGAGACAGTTGTACCTTCATGTAAGGTTTTGTTCTAATTGTCTGTCTGTTACAATAGATTTTTGTTTTACTTTATTCACTTAAAGTTTTAAAATAGTTAAAATGTTGGTGTGGGCTAACATTCAGTCTAAAATTCTGTATTAAATTGGTATACTGCTCTCCTTTTTGATAGGTCATAGAGGGGAGGCATTAATCTAAGTCACATTCTACCTGCTACTACTTGAGGCATTTGCCTTCTCATTTGTCATTAAGTAGATGAGTCTGAAATAGGTGAAGCTTGCTGCCAGAGCTCAAAATTCAATTCTTCATAGCTGGAGGATGGGCCAGTGTGAAGGAATGTAAAACTTGGATACTTAAGTGTCCTGATCAGTTGCCTTGCAAGAAGTGACCTGCTTGACCCTATTTATTTAAAAGACATTTGGAGTACAACAAACCAGAGCTCAGGGGCCAAATTCAGGCCATTGCCTGCTTTCATATAGCCTACAAGTTAAAAATGATTCTTACATCTTTGATGGTTAAAATACACATGTATCAAAAGAAAAAACGTATTTCCTGATGCATAGAAAGATAGGAAGTTCAAGTTTCTGTGTTCATAAATAACACAGGACATAGCTACACATGTTCATTTTTGTGCCTTGTTTATGTATACCCTTCTATGGCTACTTTCACCTCACACTAACTGAGTTGATAGTTGCCAAGGAGATTTTAGGTCTCACAAAGTAGAGTGGTCAGATTAAGCAAATAAAAACACAAGGTAACACAACAGTTTTAAGGACATACTTAGGACGCTAGGATACATTTTTACTAAAAATTATTCATTACTTATCTAAAATCAAAATTAAATGAGTATTCTATATTTTATCTGACAACCCTCCTGGAAAGTCTAAAATATTCATTATCAAACCCTTTACAGAAGATGTTTATGTACCTCTGCTAGAGAGCATGTTTCCTTAAGTGTTAAAAGGCATTTCACGGGTGGTGGAGGGGGGTATGTACTCCTTGTTTATATGTGATAGCATAAAAAATGTCAACAGATTCCCTTCTCAGAGCCTTTAATATGCTAATACCATTGTAAATATTAAAGAATTAAGTGTTTTCTAAACTCTGTTTAAACATGCATTACTAAATTTTGCCGTAATGGCCTTGTGGAAAGAATGTTTGTCAAAGCACACTCTAATATTCAGACAAGGACAGCCCATCAAAACTCCTTCAAACTTAGCTTGTATCTGAGGCATGTGGGACTTCACAAGCTAGAAACCAACAGAAGTAACAATGTTTCTACGGAAAAAAGCCTATCCATAGTTTCACTTTTAGATTCCAGGAATGAATCCTCTCTGCATTGAAGGACACTGCAGGGGGAGTTTTGATTTTGGTTTTCTCACTGGCTTGCCTCTTTCCTCTTATGGCTAATTAGATCTTACTGTGGATGGGAAAGGGCTTTGAGACCTTCAAGGAAAAGGGTAAGAAAATGTGGGAAGGAGCAGCAATGACTCACAGCATGGATTCCTTTCTGTGTAAAAAATAGATACATCATACAAAAAGGCAATTCCTACTGCTGCTATGTGAATTGCTAAAGAATATTTCTCATCTCTGTTATCTTTTAGGAAAGTTTTTAAAGTTCATATGAGTACTGTATTAAAAAAAACTGTATTGTATTATTCATATCCAGACTCCAAATAGAATGGATTTTTGCTTTTACTGTTTTTTTCTTTTGAGACAATCTCATTATGTAGTCTAGGCCAGTCTTGAACTTGCTGTGTAGTGCAGGCTGGCCTTAAACTCCTGATCCTCTTGCCTCAGAGTTTTAGAATTTTAATAATGTATGTATCACCTGCTATAACTCCTCTGTATTTTATTTTTCAGTACTCTCTTTTATGATTCTCTGGATGCTCTTTTCAGTTTTCCTTTCACCCCAATGGTCTTTTCCTTTCCTTTTCAAAATAGTTGATGGCTTTATAAAAGGAAACTTTCAATCCCCAAGCCAGATCAGGATAGGGCTGTGAGTTCACATTTACTGTTTTACTTCTCTCAATTTTGTTCCAGATAATTAGATTCTCTTAGTCTAGAGACACAGGGAATTAATGGATGGTATAAATTAGCTTTTGGTAATTGTATGCATGAGACAATTTTATAAAGCACTAAATTTTTTTTTCTAAATTTGTTAAAGGGAGTCTATTTCATTTGTTTCAGACAAAAGGGTAGAGTTTAGTCACATATCATAATTTTAAAGTTAACAGAAGGAGGAGAGGTAAGAACACTAGACCAGAGAAACTTTCCTATTTAAAATGGCATTAATAGGATTGAAACCACACACTGTTCTCTTGAAAAATCTTCTAATTACCAAATAGAGTGGCCAAAACAAACTGTAGATTGTCACCTTTGCCTTTAAAATCTTTTTAACTTGTAAGTTCTTTGACTTATATACCTAAATCTAGTATCTAACAATATTATGGGCCAATGGAAGATAGATTTCTTCCTTGTCATGGGCATCTCAGAGTAGAACTGGGTGACCTAGAGTCTGAGTGGCTAGCTTGGATGCCTCAGTGTAATCAGAGTTCCATAAACTGTATTATGAATCATGTGTATTTGCCAAATCTGAGTTCAAAACCATACCACTGTTGCCTCAGCTGGTTTCTGAAGCAATATCTAAAAATAGTTGAGCTTTATTTGGTGTCACTTGCACCACAATAAGCCCTGGATGTTTCTGGGCACTATTGATGACTTTTAGAGATGGATGACATTCAGATGATTTTTATCCATGACTACTACACTGGATGATTTGAATAATGCATGTTTGCAGGCCGTTAGATCAACCTGTGCTCAGCCTGTTGGCAATCATTAGCATATATTTATATTATTATATATTAATCTATATTTACTGCATAAATATTTAATAACATGAATTTATTTTAATTTTGTTTAAATATTCCAGCAAATACAGGTACTGGTGGTAAAGGACATAAAAAAATTCATGTGAAGCAAGCTGAAAAATGTCCTAATGAATCTGTTTTGAAACCTGTCAGAAACACAGAAAAGAAACCTTGAGAGACACTTATCTAATGGCTTTGAAGAAGTGATGTCACAATCTCCTGCCACACTACAGGGATCTAATCACTTACTCTTTCATGTATTTCAGTAATAAATAACATGTCGTCTTATTCATAATTGGGATGGGGTGATTTCTTTTTCAATTCAATAGCTATTTATTAACTACTAACTGTTGAAGATACAAAATCAAATAAATTGGGACAGAATGAGCTAAACTAATTTTAAAGATACCATTAAACATAATTCACCATAGCAAGTAAAAGTTCTTTTTCATAAATTTTGTAGGAATAGTGTGTGGTTTGTAATATACTTGCCTCATGAGAAATTGAGCTTTCGCTTTGCCTGATACATATATTTACATGTTGCATTCATTAATAAAAACATATTCTAAATGGTTTCTAGAAAACATTGGCCCATAGAAACTCTTGCTCAGTTCTATGAGTAGCTTTAATTTAAACCATTTTCAAAGAATAAGTCCCCCTCATGTTGATAACAAGTTGTGGGAAAGGAAACTTTTGCTCTTCTTGGAATCTGATTCTGGTGTTTAGTCATCCATTTAGTTCAATTAAAAAATCTGATTGGTTGCTGCCATGTCCCATTTTATATTCATATATGCAAAATATTATTCAACTGTAATTACTCGTTTTAATGCTGCTTCATCAATAGTCTCATTTGACTTGCAAGAGTAATATGACTAATAGTGAATCCAACAATTAAAATGGCATGCCATATTAGCAGTTTTTTTGCTTTTATGAAGGTTAACATGTCTACCTTCAGAGACTTTCTTTTTAAATTTTATACTTTGAATATGTCATGTGTGGGAAAAGAATTTAAGGAGAGCCTGGGAGATACAGATAATTTCTGTGACATTTTTCAAAAGCAAGGTTTTTCTAAGTTAAGAGATCTAATTCAAATACATCTTAACCAGATATAGTAATTGACTGCTGGCTTGCATTATAATGGGACAACTGTCACAAGAATAATATTTTGAAGCAATAAAATGTAGTTCCTTAAGTAAAGGTTTTAAGAACAGTCTTCGATACTTTTGGAAAAGCTCTACAGAAAAGGATTAGGCTTGGGGAAACAGTCACATAATATACATTTTTTCCTCTTGGTTTTGTCTTCAGTCTCCTAAAGCAGCCAATCACTCACAGCCTTTCTGTGGTAAATTCCCAAGATTCCGGAGCAGCCTATGGAGATTGAAAAATGGGAAACAGTCTGTAATCTGATTACAAATATGTGGGTAGCAAGCATAGTCCAAGTAGGTAACCTCAATAACTTCTTGAGGATGAGTTATGTCAACAGAAGCCAACACTACAGGCGTGACTGAGGAAGACTATTTACTTCATAACAGATACTTAATGAACTTTTCTAGGAGCTCCAGTAGTTCCAGTAGCAGCAGCACTTTCTTAATCTGCAGAGTTTATCATAGAAGCTACTGTGATAGGCTGTTTGTGTTAATTAGTAAGCACTCTTCCCATTTTATAACACTTTTGGAGTGTGCGGTAGTCAGTGCTTTTTACAGGTCTAGATCAGTTTCTTGAATAATTCAGTAAAATGATTTTCCTAGCTTTCTGAATAGGATAACAAGTCAGATAGGCCTTCATATCTCCAATGACTGGTTCAGGATTTACAGAGAAACAGTGTCTTTCAATGGTGGTTTTAGGGATGAGAGTTCTGCTCATCTTGGCAGGTTTTAATGGTATCATTTATTAAAATTCAAGGCACCTCAAATACATACATATATATAAATCTAGATAATGACATTCCATATTATAGCTCAGACATACCATATTTAAATTAAGCGTGAAAGTACATATTTCAATTATTTAGGAACAAATGTCTCAAAGATTTGGCACAACAAACATTAAGAGTTGACTATAAAGATGTCCTCTTTATCACTGGTATACCTAATATGAAACAATGAATTTTACAAATAATTGGTGAGGCTTTTACTATGCTGAGAATGTCTTTTGACTTAAGACTCCCAAAATATAAATTTTTTTGTTATAAAGACAAAATACTGTCATCGCTCTAATGAAACCATATTCCTGAATACATCTTAGGAAAAATTTAGTGATTTTAGGAAAAAAGATATGCTTTATTTATTTTGATTGACATATGAATTCTCTATTTCCACCCAACATAATTCATTGTGATGTTTAATTTTGCCAACCACCTTGTAGCTTTGGTAGGCAAAATATTTTTTAATGCTTTAAAAATCATTGTGTAGTGAGGTTTTTCCTTTACAAAGGCATATTTAAAGCTGTAAAATAATTTACCCATGTTATTGCTAATATGGACATCTATACATAGTAAAATAACTAAGTTGTTTGGGTTTTCATGCATATGAAATAAACAAAAATACTTTATAAATTGGTTTTTGTTTTAATATTAAGACTATGTGTATAGATTGACATGGTAAAAATATATATATATTTTGAGCATTGCTGGGGATCGAACTCAGGACCTTATGCATGCTAGGCAAGCACTGTGGTATATCTCTAGACCTGACATCTTTATAATTCTATCAAGAATTAATAGCTATAATAAATATTTAGATATAAAACACTATAAGTCAAAGGAGAGTAGAATGGTAGCTGGATTAATTCAATTTACATTTTAGACAGAAATTATGTCGCTCTTCTATTGTATTCCTGTGTTATCGAGTTGTATGATTTTTTCCTCTTATTTTATGAATATTGTTTTCTGGATTCATTAAAAATGCAGAAAGAGATAATGATTGTCTTATATGCATAATTTAAGCTTAATATCATTTGAAGTTTTATTTAAAGCACACAAATATAGGGCTATGAGACTAATATAAAATTGAAAGAGTAATATTTCTCATTTTTGAGACATTTTAGTACATATGTTTCAATTAATTATTCTCTTCTCCTAAGAAAATTTTGATTAAAAATATCACTAAGAATTTAAAAACACTCTCCAGGTACCTTTTACCCATGGCATCACTGAGTTATATAATTCTCTTCTCTAGCATTTACTGTATTTTAATAACGTAAAATTTTAGCCTATATTGTCTTTTTCAGGAGTTAGGAATGGTTAATGTGATAATATGGTAAATAGATACATGATATATCCTATTTTAATAAGTATTTAAAAAAATTCACCCAATATATTCAAAATTTCAACAAGTATCTTATTTTCTTATAAAAATGTATTCAAAACTAATTTTCATCAAATTATGTTTTAAAGAACATTAATAGAATTCAAAGTTTATTAGGTAAATAATCATATTAAGCACATTAATCAAAACAAATTTCCATCTCTATACAAATGACTTCTAAAATAGTCAATTATCATTTAATGCAAATTCTCACATTTGATGACATTTTGTGTTTATAACTCATTTATACTTTTATAATGGGACAACTGAACTTCAGATGAAAAACTTGGTAATATTTTATTATTTAAAAAAGGAAAATTCAGAAGTATTTTGGAGTGTATCTATATGTTGATATTTACTAAACTTGTGACTGAAAACTCATTAAATATGAACTAAAATTAGTTGTTTACTATGTTTTATAAAGAAAAATATGAGTGTTTATTAACTTGAAGATAAGTTGTGTACACCTTACATTTCAATATTTTTAGATATTCACTTATTCAAATATTCACTAAGTTCTTACTGTATATACCAAGAATGATTCTAGGTGTTGCACTATTTTATGTTCAGTGTTTCAGCAATATAGTATTTTGGTATTTTTTATGCTTTATGAAACTTACATAGTTTTTAGACTATTCAGTCCTTATAATTTAAATATTACCTTCCTCCTAAATATGGCTATTCCAATTTATAAAGGAGACACTTACTTTTCCTTTAAATTATATACGTATTTTATTTTTGAAATCAGCGGATAAAATTAACTGTTGCTCCCCATGTCTCCCAACCCCAAGCTTCCTCCCAACCTTTAGCTCTTGGGCAACAAAGATTAAGGTAATACTAACTCATAAAAGTTATTCTTTAAAAACAAACAAACAAAAAACCCCAAACCAAAAAACAAGCACGAAGAAAAATCTTCTGTCAAAATGGGTTGAGTCGTATTCCAGTTCCTAAAGGTGAGAATGGATTCACCTTTGCCCACATCAAAGCATCATTCAGTGAGATAGCAGATTTCCCATCTTCTAGGAAAAACACAGGGCCCTGCACACAGTGAAAGTTGAGGAAAGATGAGATTATGAATTCACAGCATCCTTTTAAATTTCTATAAGTAGAATCACTGCAATAAAACCCACTTGGTGATATTTAATGCTAGTAGAAAATTTAGGAATATGAGAACAATTTGTTTTTATGAGCTGCTTATCAAATAGAAACATTTTCAACTATCTTAGTATTATATCATTATACTATGATGTCTGTAAAAACAGAATTTTATTTAGTAATTTGAATTATTTATGTGTAGTAGTGCTACCAATGCTAACAGGTATTGTTAATCTACAAGTTTCCACGAAGTTAACTTATTTTATGAAAAGTTATATAACCTGGTAATAGACAAATATACTTCACTATTTTAATCATGTAGCCTTTGTCAGAATATCTGGGTAAAATACTAAAGCCAGAAACTTCAGTCTCTAGAAGATGAAAAATATATTGATTGATCAATTGGTCTACCTATATATCTATCTAATTTAAAATTTTATTTTGTCATGTGACTTAAAGGCATGCTTACCATTTAGTTACATCACTTATTCTGTATGTCCTGGGTGGTTATGAAAAACTATTTGAACCAAATTTCCCAGCTCTCAGAAGGAAAAACATTTAAAAATCACAAAATGAAATAAAAATATTTATTTTTGTAATTAGGTTCTAAAGCTGTTAGGATTTAGTTATGATTAAAATGGTACACTTCATTGTTAGCTAATTATTTCTAGATATTGAAAAATCCATCATAGGAATAGGTAAAGAGCTTCATATTAGTAGGTACTTGAAATCTCAGCATAACAACCTAGACATTAATTTTCTGTCGAAATAGAAATTTCCTCAGAGCACAGCACTCCATATCCATCAGTCATGTGTGTCTTAGTGCAAATGAGATAATAGGTCCTACCCTGAATATAGGTTTGGGTACAGAGAAGTTACATCATATCTATTAGGACATTTGGCTATCCTAGATGCAGAAAAAGAACCTTAAACAAAAAAAGGAGAAAAGGAACATGAAGTTACCGAGTATTAAAATGGTGTATAGAGGGCAATGAGTGCCGAAGACATATTCCAAAAATTCCATGGTTTTTTCACTTGTAATTATAAATTACTGAATTTACTACTTTGGCTCTCTGTTTCTGAACAGATATGCATAATAATGTTTGATATAACAAGTGGCCTGGGTTTTGGAACACACTGGTGTGCACTCAAGTTTTGGTTTGCAGTGGCAAGCTAGACTATAGGTAAGGTTTACGTATGTATCTAGCTATACCATTTATTTTGAGTGGCTGTGTCGTAAACTACCTTCCTCATTGGTCTACAAGAATGGACTCATTAAAATGTGCATATTACTGGGAAGTGGAGCTCTTTGGTTCAATCTGTACCCTACATTACATTTCATGAGATTTAGCTTTGTTTGCTGAATTAGGGCTCCTAAAATTAGTTCAGACTCCAAGATGATGAGGACTTATCTATTTCTTCAAGATAATGATACACCTGGGGCACACTGAGACATCCTGACATCATTCATTATTATTAATTTGATGTACATTAGGAGCCATTCTTTCAGAATCAGTCATCCCTCATGATGGAACCCAATAATTTTTAATTGTTGAAAAGTTCAGTAACTTGTGCAAAAACACAAAATACTTCATAACATATATCAATTAGCTTTCATTACTTTGTGTTTTACAACATATGGAGACTAGAAAGTTAATCTCTTGTGATAAAATCTTTTGTAACTGTCGATTGATATTTTGTCTCCCTTATTTAATTTCTTTCAGGATATGACCTATATTTATTTTAAAACGTATTTGTAACTAAGTACATATATATGCATATAACATGAATTATTTTTACAATAGTAGTGTAATAACTGTTTGAATTTCATTTAAGGGGAAATAATTCATTTATTATAAGGGCAATATTTTCTTACTGGACCCTACGCCTCTTTATAGTTACCTATTTATGTTTAGCTTATGCTTATTTCAAGATAATGTTTCAAATAACACATAAATGCAATAGAAATGCACAATATATATCTGAAATGAGGCTGTACCTGGATTTTTAATCCTGTAAGACAAGAGATGTGAATGTCAGAATGACTTGGAAGATTTGATCCAGTCACATAATCTGGTCCAATAACTCTTTTTAGTGGCTCTTCTTTTAATCTCTTTAATAAAGTTGCATAAACCATTCTTTGTAAATCAGAAGGGGTTGTATATGGAGATTCTTCTGATGATCTATATTTTCAACAGATATTAAATCTTTATTTTGTAGAATCAAAGAATTATTGAGGTTTAGGTAAAAATAGTTTTTGATGATTACTTATTTTCCCTTTATAAAGGGAGGCAAATAACCTACTGACAAATTAGTGAAAAATAACAAACTTTAAGAGGGCAAGAAAAATATCATAAATTATTGCTGCATATGCTCTAAACAAAGATTCATTATTTTGCTAAAATTGATAATGAGACTATGTCTATAAAGCCTATAACATTAAATCGCTTCTGTATTCTAATTTTTATATCATCTTCACTCACCGGTTGGTGAACTGTGTGCAAGCTCTCCATGCATCCAATTCCTCAGAAAGATGTTCAATTTTTAAAGGTACTGACACTTCTCGACGCTTTAATAGCTGACTGAAGCATGTGAAAAAGAAATTAA